TCGAGTAATTTACACAGGCCTACTAGCGCCGTCCGATGGCCTTCGGCCGAAGGCCCTCGGAGTACCTTCCCTGACCGTCATTACATAGCCTTGGCAGGGCCGTCAGTCACATCCCTACTTGTAGGCAGCGAGCAATCTTGTTTCTCGTAGATCGGCGGCTAAACGCATGATGCGCCCTGGACGCGAGCGAACCCGGTCACGCTGACCTTAGCTCCCCGCTTGAAGGTCGGATTCTATTTCTTCTCAGATATTCAGATGATTCCGAAACAGCCATAACCCCCCTCCTCGAGTACGATGCGACGCGACAATGATGGAACACTACCGGTTGGACACGTTCCGAGCCGCACTTGGCCAAGCAAATCAATGGGACTGGTTATCTCGTGCAAACATGAGGGATGGATCGTGGGTGGGTTCGACGCGCAAGACGAAAGAGGAAGGCCCGTGGTAACGACAGCATTCGTCGTCAATGGCGCAGGCAGACACTGCAGATGGTACATCGATCATAAACAACTTTGGTTTGATCCTGATCTCGCTGCAAGTTCTGGCTGTGAATGCCCGGCTAGCTCTACTTCAAAAAACGAATTATCGTGCAGATATGGTTGCACAGTGCTGTGGCAAGGTGTTCGAGATGAACATGGGGTCGATGTTCGAGATTAGCAGAACTCGCAACCTCCCATGCGACCCCAGAACCCGCACATGCGCCCTACAGCGCTGGGTTTCACCCATCGATGGCGAGAAAACTGGGAATCTCGAGCCACGCGCGCATTCGGTGCAGGATTGAGAGTGGGAGGTTCACAAATCGACAGATCGCGGACCGTCACAAATGCAGCACCGACGCCGTCAAGGCTATGAAACATTCGTGACCATGGCACCACCACCAAACCAGGTCGTCGTGGCGGGCGACCCTCATCGATCACTCCTGCGATGCGGGCCGCCCCTCGCCCATCTCGATGCGCATCTGGAGCTGTACCTGGAAGAGATGGTGGATTACCTCGGGGAGGAGTTTGGAGTTTCTGTCACTAAATCGAGCGTCAGCAGGGCATTACACTCCGAAGGGCAGTCGAAGAAGAAGTTCCGCCGCAAGGCCGCGAAGCAAAACCCCGACCTGATCGATTACTATCCCCCCCCCCC